TCTATTCTATTCTATTCTATTCTATTCTATTCTATTCTATTCTTTGCTGCTTCTAATTAAAATAACAACAAGAATAAAAAACAAATGTCCAATGATAAATGGTCTGAATTAAAAGATTTGACCTAAAAGTTTGAATTATGAATCACACTCAAGTGTTTTGGTGCTGTCATTTGATTTGTATTGATAAAGTCATGTTAAGTATTACCACAGAAACCACTATAGACTAGCCACTGACCAGCGGTATTAATGCTAAAAATAGACAGCCGCCATTTTGATTTCTACAAAGGTGAACAACGAGTTCCTCCCAGGAGTATAGTACACAAAAATACGCAGAAAATAATTTAAAAAGTAAGAAAGAAAAAAAAAGCGAAGGAAAGCTGTCGTCGGTATTGACAAACACGTGATTACTAGTAATGTAAATATTTGTTTGGCATCCGAAGCTCATTATTCGCGGAAAACTTGAAAATCCGAACTCCAGAAATCATGATGCTAATTTGCAAATAGTCGAGTTAATTGATGGTTTTCAACCATTCCCAAGAGAATGGAATAACAAAAGACACGGCGGCCATGATGGAGGATATGACAAAAGAATTAATTGACAATTCTTTTGTTAAGTTCCTCCAACATGGCCGCCGTGAAAACCATCAATACGTGATTGCTTTATCAATCGATAAATTACTCGCTGACTTTTTGTTCGTTATCGTGTTTTCCTCTGTTTTTCGAATTCATCGCAAAATTTTCTCGAAAGTTAATTCAAGCCGCCTGATGTTTGCATGAACCTGTGCTTCTTAATGGGCATGCTCAAATGTTCTTCGTAGTTGAACGCGGTTTGCACACTCCACATTCTCGGACTGTTTATTAATTTCTTTACTTAAACCTTTATTTTACGAGGGTAACATAACATAACCTCTCAGTTATCTAACTTTTTTAGGCTCAGTTTTCGCAATCTCGTACCCATATCCTTATTTCTTACTACGCATGCTCGACGAATTATTTGGAAAGTTGTGAATAGACCGAATTGGTTGCGTTACAATGTTTTYCCATTTCAGACCACGTGTCATTCCCAAGAGTGTCATTTCTTTGTTTAAAGTGTATATGACACGAAAACATTTCATCGTTTAAAATGTATAGTTTGTTAGTCGTAATGAATATATCGTAATAAAATGTGTTTCAAAAGCTTATTTCTTGAGATATGTGAGAAAATTAAGCCCAATTTGTGACGTCATTTTGTTGACACGTACTCTAAATTCAGTAGTAATGCACAAAATATAAATTGTAAATCGTATAAAATAACAACAAAAGGCATATTTTATTCAACTTCATTTGATAGCTTACGTAGTACTCT